ATAAGAACTGCGGATAAGTAAAATTTACTTTTCACATTCTGCACAAAGTACATTAAAAATAATCCAACTTTTTATTATATTTGCATAATTGTTAATAAATATTTAAGGTACATAAAAACATTTGTTGATTACCATCTTTTATAGTTCGCCCAGAATTAGTTGAAAATCCAATGCATTCTGTGCATCTTTGTTAATATTGAGTGCCCATAAGTTACATTCCACCGTCACTAATCTAAATGCTAAAAACATTGTATTAATATAAAATACAATATTTGTTATCCATATTATTTAAAAAATTAGTAATCAATAATTTCAATTTATTATATAAATATGGTTATTTACAAAATTTATCAAATCTTTTATAAGTAATACAAAATAATATTTTGTTATAATTATGAAAAACAAAAAGAACAAATACATACAATAAATAAAGAATCTGCTAGTATTATTAAATATTATGCAAGTAAATCCCAGCACTGGCATAGGCAATTCCGCTTCCAGTGGTATATGTTCTAAACTCAATGTACGTTATCAATCACCCAGGGATCCTATTCTTGAAAAGAAACGTATACAAATAACTAGGTAAATACTATAGTATGTAATGTGTATTATAATATTTACCTAATTATTCATATACGTTTCTTTTCAAGAATAGAGACTCTGTACACGAACAAAATTTTATACCAAATTTTTTTAATATAATTTTATAAGAATATATCAATAACATTTTTTAAATGCTGAGATCCGGTTGCACCAACATTACTTTGACTTTAAACGAAACTTAAAACTCTTTCTCTCATTTTAAAGACAAAAAAGAGACAGAGAGTTTTAAATCTCGTTTAAAATAAAAAAATCATAGCTTTGGTGCAATCAGGCCTAAGATTCTAAATAATTATAATTTTCTATTTCTGAAACATTTGAATATAATTTTATAATCATATATATCTTGATGGCTTACATGTCACATTTTTAAAACGCAGCGCGACTATCGGTGTCAAATAATCTGGTTGACCAATAAACGGAAAATATTGCACAGAAAATCCAGGACTTGGTAAATACTCAATTTCTCCGATATGCTCTTTATCAACGTTATTCACTCCATCACACCATAACCAGATTTGAAACTATTTAATTATAGAATAAATTGTATGAATACACATACATATGCGTCCAGATAGCAACGTATCTTGTTACTGACACATTGCTTGCAAGCATACATGTGTTGCTATCAAAATTGCGACACCTGTTGCGGGATTTTCTAAACGTTTTATCGACAATTATCGCTATCGTTAACTAGCGACAGTCAATGAGAGCCGCGCTTTCTTCTAGGATTGTCCTGCCATTGGCTATCGCTATATTAATAGCGACAATCGATAGCGACAATCATCGATGCTTAAGCTGATTGTATCAAAGTAACATTGGTGCAATCGGGCCTTAGAGAATCTCATTACTAAGTTCGTACTTGTTAGCAAATTGTTATCTTCATGATATGACAACTTTAGGTAGCAACTTGCCAACTTTAAAATCGTCATCATCAAAAGTATGCTACGCCATCATGTTATTATATAACAACAGGCACACAAAAAAAAATTTTTTGATTCGGAGAGTATGATATCCTTATTATATTTTTACAGTCTAAAACCAAATCTGATATTAAAATTGTACTATCACGTAACTTTTTCATCGACAGAAAATGACTCTCTTTTCTAGAATTTTTAATTATCTACTAGTTTGCATATTAACTTTAAAAGCTTGCATACCCAGCTAACGTTAATTATTCATTAAAAATTCGATTTTTTGTATTCCTAATGTATCGAATATTCCGGAACAGTAAAGGAATCGTTATAGAATGTATATGAAATGTTTAGAATATTATATAAACATTGCTGTTCTGAGAAAAGGAATCAACTTTCTGAGAGAAGTCGCTCTTTATATTCTAGTATTTTAGCATTCGCTTTAACTTCGTCACGAAAAGCCACGAATCAAAAAATTGTGAGCGAGACAGTCTTTGGAATAAACTCTCATAACTAGCCTTTTACAATTTCTTTTCGATCAAAAGAAATTCTCTTCTGCCCAGAGCGACTTTTCTCTGCCCGAAAGAAACTTTCTATAGCCACTCTTTTTGCTCGAAATCTTTGGTGTCTCTTCCATCACCAAAAAATCGATTCCTTTTCTCGGAATAGCAGTATTTCTCCTTTCTTTCAAAGCGAACAACTGAAAACTCAAACCAAGTGTGATGTATTTCTTTTTCTTAATTAACAAATTAATTCTATTAATCCAAATATTTAGTCCAGTTCCAAATGTAATCGATATTTCCTAAAAAGTAATTCTTCTTACTTCAAAAAACTATCTTTCACAAAAGATCGGCAGTCTGTTTAAATGAACAATTTACCTCTATGAAGTTGGCCCTTCATTTTCAAAATTATTAAAAAATAATAACTTTTGGTTGCCCCCCCTTCCCCCCCTCCTCCGAAGAATTCTAGAGTTCTCTATTAATTTT